TTCATGCTCTGCTGTTGTTTTTTTTATTGAGGGAGAAAATCCATCATGTGACAACTGGGCGCTAGCTCTGAGCACTGGATTTGCTCCCCCAAAACACCAAATATATTGCATCGGGGGGCTGTCACTGAATAGAAGATTTTCATATAAAAAGGAACAAGCAGTGCTTGCTGACATACCGAGCTCATCCAGAAGCACAAGGGAATGTTCTGTTGCATGCTGAAGTATACTGGAGGTTTCACTCAACTCCACAAAAAATGTGCTTTCACCTTAGAGGGAGGAAAAAAACGTTTAGTAAACACTCAAAAGTCCTCTTGCAAATTTTGATATTTGGATGTGGCACCCATAACATTATACCATGAGTATTGCCAGTACCTGCCATGATTCTGTCTGACGCTCCCAGTCTGGTAAACACTCGGTCCACTGGAGTCAATCTACAAATCTCAGCAGGTACATAACATCCCAGCTGTGCCATAACCACCAGAAGACCAGCCTAGGGGGGAAAAGAAATCCCATAATAGACACACGTACACCCCATCTCTTCCAAGGTTTTCAAAACATTCATATATACAATATATTACCATGAGACAACAAAGTCCATACAGAGCTGAAAGTAAAGTTTTACTAATATCAAAAAATAAAAAGCTTAAAACCCACTTGTTCCCCAACTACAATGTCTGGACTATTGATCTAAATGTTCCACCATGACATTTCTTCAATGCCCCCTCTGTTGATTTTATCTACCGAGATTTCAAACACCGTAATGCTCCTAAGGGGGTTTCTTGGCACTCATTTCTTTGCTGGATGCACTCTATGAAGTATTACCTTACCCCAGGAATGCAAAGATAAGGCTCATTAGTACAAGACACCTTCCTATCCTGCATTACAAAAATATTCCTCAGGTTCTAGTTCCCGCACCCACAAACCTTCCCCTCCTTAGAGCTCAGGGGGTTCTAAATGTCTGGTAAATGAAGGCATTCAAGCCTGCAGAAATACACCACCGCACTGAGATGATCCCATAACAGTTCCATTAGATCAGTGGGCACATCTATTGGCTTTGCGTACATTTGGGAAGCCCTCATAGCTGATGCATGGGCAGCAATATCTGCATGGTACAGTTGGTTTTCATTCCCATTCTGAAAACCTCCTTGCAGTTACTTTTCCCAAACAAGCCATTCATAACATTTTGGACTTAAAAGTTCTATGAACCAAGAGGTCACACGCTGGCCATGAGGGGGGGGGGGGGTTTACCTTTCTTCCACTTCTTATGTTAGGCAATCTCCTTTATCATCACCCCAGAGGGCTGTAAAACGTTCTCCAGCTTCCAGATCTACTATTTATAAAGTGGATTAGACAGGTTGTTGTGCAGGACTATAAGCTGCAAGATAAAAAGCCGCCTCCTCCCTTGAAGCAAATGTCTTTTTTTCACCAGGCCTCCATTACATATTAGCAAACTATGACTTCCTCTAAGTTTCACAAAGCTGATCTGTCTGCTTCCATGGATGCCAATATTGGTCAAACGATACTGCAAACAGCTATTTCGTGTCCATGGCTTCCTCCCTTCTAGTTTTAATTGCTGGGATGGTTCACCCGTGTGTGGGGCATGCTCACCCGTGTGTGGGGCATGCTCACCCATCAGTGTGGACATCCCTAGGCTGCATGCTCACCCCTCAGGCCCCTTCACATGTAGCGACTTACCTTTGCAGCGGCCGGGATAGCGCGGCTTTCGGTGCGACGGTAGCGCAACCTTCTCCATTGGGCTCCATAGAAAAAAATCGCGCAAAATCCGACGAAAAAAGGGTCCTGTAGAAGCGACATGGAGCTAAGACAGCTCCATTGACTATCATTAGCCGGCGACTTCTCGCGATATCGCGCGCCAAAAATGCGTGAAATAGTGCGATAAGTCGCTACATGCTCACCCCTCAGTTGGGACGTCCCTAGGCTGCATGCTCACCCCTCAGTTGGGACGTCCCTAGGCTGCATGCTCACCCCTCAGTTGGGACATCCCTAGGCTGCATGCTCACCCCTCAGTTGGGACGTCCCTAGGATACTTAATTATCAAAGTGTGTGTGTGTGCCTCAATGGATGATTGAGAAAATCCTTTTCTCAGAGTCTATAAGGAGACACAGCTCGCTCCCTCCAAGTGCTTTCCTTCTCTCATGGACCGCTTGTTACAACTAAGCATGTGTGAGATGGGTGTTACAGCCTCTGGGGGTAGTTTCTATGTGCCCTGGGTCCATTTCTCCTGTATGTGGCAGTATAAGCCCAGGTTGCTCATTAATCATCAAGCAGTGCGCCTCAAAGGACTCCAAGAAAAGGATTTTCCAGCAGAAATCCTACCAATTCTTATACATATTAATAGTCTTGCTTACTTGTCTTAGCAGAGTGGATTTCCCACCCATGTTTGGACCCGTCACAAGTACACAGTGGGCGTCACTGTCCTCTTCACAATCCTCTTCCTTACAACCAATCACAACGTCATTTGGAATAAAGTCGTCTCCAAAAAAGGTTTTTGTAATACAAGGGTGACGAGATCCTCGAAGCTCCAAGAAAGGTGACATGTCATCGGGCAAAACTACGATAGGCCTACAAACTGGTCCATCACCACCGCGGCTGTACTGAGCAAAACACATGAGGACATCTGCAAGAAGAATGTGTACGGAAATAGCTCAATGCAAATATCTTCAATGTTTTATAAAAGCATTTTTAGTTCACATTTTGGAGGTTTTAATTGAAGGGTGTAAATGAGAAAAAGGGGGAAACGTGGACGCCGCCATTGTGGACTTCTTATTCTACAAATGCTAGCTTTCCTGGCTGTCATTTTAACCCTCTGGCTTGTATGTTTATTCAATAACCATCCCAAAAAAATACAGAAATATGTTACTGCTTTCACCTTCCTGGCATCCATCCTTGTTCTGCGTCATTAAAAGTAGTGAAGCCAGAAGGTCAGAATTATAACCAGTCAACCAGCATTTTCAGAAGGTCAGCAAGTGGCAAAATGCATCGTTCTCTCAGGAAAGGTTTCCTTTAAATCCTTTTCTGTCCAGCCGAAAGCATTCCAATGTCATTGCTAAAGCTCGAACATACTTGCTTAGAATACTAAAGGTATACACACACTGTTCATTTTACCTGCAATACCAGAATGTTAACCTGGTCCAGTCCCTCACACTTCAGTATGGGCCCCTTAATATAATGTTCTGCCTTAAGGTGGCCATACACCTTGCAACCATTGGACAACTTTTTTTTGTCCATACATTTCACCCTCCTTCAATTTTCTTACAACTAGCCCATCATGCACAGACCAATGTAGTTCACAATTAACGTTCATCAGCAACACCACCTGCCCGATTTTCATTGGTCGAAAGGACAGATTTTCATTTGAGCATGTGCAGTTTTATCTTGAGTTTTTTTGTTGTACAACAGTCCCACTAATCCGTCAATTTTCATCCAACTAGACACATTTTCTAGCCTGCTTGAGGACCGGTTCACACCGCAAAGTCCGCATTCCAGTGTGTTCGACCTCTGGAACACAAGCCGGCTCCCCGAGTATAGGGGCGTGGCGATGCATTGAAGTCAAAGACGCCCACCGTGTGATTGCCCACACCCAGAAGGCAGGCAAAAATACTGCAAGCATCACACTGGACCGGAACGCAAGCACTAATGTGCCTGCGTTCCGGGTGTGGGCAGGGGGCGTAATTGACTTGAATGCACCGCCACGCCCCCTATTGCCCCTGAATGCAGGGAGGCGGCCGGCTTGCGTTTCAGTGCGTTCCGGAGCCCGAAGGCACTGGAATGAGTTGTAGCGTGAACCAGCCCTGAAAAACAAAAATCTGCCAGTAATTGCGGTTGTGCGCTTCCCATCAACTGGCAGATTTTCGGATGAAAACGCGATCTCAGACAAAAATCTCCAGATAATTGTAAGGTGTATGGGCACATTTAGAGGCAGGGAGGGCTACACAAGACTTACAAGTAGAAATTTTAAAAGAAATGTAGCTGCCTTTATGTGGCAACCTGATCATGTCGACATTTTCACTGAAGGTAACCTCTGCTCGTGTACTTTTCTTCATCATCTGCACAATTTGACCTGTTTAAGATCCTGGCAGGTTTACTTGAAACAAAAGCAATTCCACTTACCAAGTACGGCAAAGCACTCTACAGCCGTCTGCCACTCTTTGTAGTTTTTATCAAAGTTATAAAACAACCTTCTCATGCAGTCTTTAAGTGCTGCGTCTCTGCGCTCTTCAGCATTTACAAGCTCCCCAAAGAGCTTCTCAATGGTCTTTGTCCAGTAACGCTTGTAGCCCTTCTTTGTAGACTTCAGCTCATACTCCTCTGGCAAATTACGCTCGGTTACACTCTCTGGTATTTCCATTTGGTAGCGATTCTTTGCCGTTCCCCAATAAACGACACTCTTACATCCAAGCCGCTTGCGTTGCTTCTCCAGATAGTCCGCTAGATTCTGCTCTGCAGTCTTGATATCTCTCTGTGCTTCATCATAGTCGGGGTCAAAGCCTGCTTTGGGGGTAATCACTCCGGTTTTTCTAGCTTTCTCGTGATCGAATGAAGTGTCCCACCTCTTCAGTTCAGATGACAAGTCTGGGAATCGACCTTTAGGATGTTTATCTTTCAGAGTCATAACCTGCTTGAGTATATCCGACTTAAACCCATCAACGGCATCGTCCATAACCATGATGACTTCACGCATCACCTTAAAACCTTCCAGCGCAGAAAGGAAATCTGCAATCTTCTTTTTACTGTACGTAGTCTCCTCATACATTACGGCTCTGCTGTCCGGATGGTTTTGGCTCTTCAGTGGTGAGCCGATACTGTGAATTTTGCTGAGAAGCCTTTCCAGGTCGGGAAGTTTTTTCAGAAGCTCTCCCACTTCAGTCAGTTTTTCTGGGATAGCCATAAGATCTTCCAATGCATTGAGACGATCGTTAATGGAAAAAGGATTGCACAGCGGTGCACAAAGCCATTGTTTTAAGAGGCGCTTTCCAAAAGGAGTAAAGCATGTGTCTAGTTTTTCCAGTAGTGTACCTTCAGTAGACCCATTTGTCCCATTCTGTAAGATTTCTAGATTTGTAAGAGTCACCCCATCAAGAACCATTCGCTGACTGGTTTTTGCAAAGAAACTGGTTGAGCTTTGGGCTTTTTCAATGTCAATGTCAACAGGAACATACTCTTCAAAGTTGGCCATAGAGAGGAGCTCCTGATCGATGAGACATTTTTTCATGTAAAAAATACATGCCCCAAGAGCAGAAAGAGCCAGCTCGCTCTTTTCTCCAGGGGTAAGGGCCAGCGAGTCGCTGTCTGACGTCATGCTCTTAATAACAGGGGGTAAAGTGCCATTATCATGGTCATCTTTGCCTTCTTTCACAAAGTAACCTCCTTCAGCAAGGGTCTTTAGTGTTTTTGTGCCATCCCAAAATTGAGAGGTAGGCTGCAAACCCTCTTGAATTGCAGTGGACAAACCGCTTTTAAGAACCTTCTTTGTATCAGATGAAGGATTGCCCCTTTCAAACAGTACCTGAACTGGAGGAAAGTGGGCTACTAAAGTCCTGAACCGTGAACAATGGCGGTCATCATGAAACTGACCAACGTGAAATTTTCCCACAGATGTGTCCACAAAGCACACACCATATACTCTCTGCTGTCCAGAGGAATCATCCGGCTTTTCCTTAAAGCTCAAAAGATATTTATTATGGCTTTCCAAGGGGCTGCCATCCAGAACACTGTAGGTCTGGGTCCCTTTCGTAATTATTCTGCATATTTCCCGCCGCACCACCCGATCAAATTTGGTTGGATGAGACATAGACTTGCAACGTGCTTCCATCATCTCTGGGGTTTCTGTCTGTTCCACCCTGGCTACTTTGTATACTTTCTGTACAAGCACATCAGAGAAACGTCCAAAAGCAATCTCAGGAAAACCAGAGTGAGCCCAAACTCCTTTCATGAATGTCAGACCCAATTCATTGACACCAATAACAGCATCCATGTGGTACAGTTCATAGAACTTCCCAACCTTGTAAAATATGACCGTGTCAAAATGTTGAGATTTGAGCTGCCACCATTTCCTCATTCCTGGTGTACATTTATTTAGGAAGTCCTCTGGAACATACAGTGTTGAAGGGTCATAATTTTCATCACTCTGTTTTCTGCGATTGACATCTTTTCTCCGCCCATCCTGCAGCCATTCAAACTTTTCATGTTCCCAAACAGTGACGCCTCCAGCCCCACCTGTAGTGGACTGAGAGTCAAAAGATTCTGGGGCAGAGAAAGACGACAGCTTTAATTTGGCCTCTGCAGATACATTGCTGGTTCTCTTTGGCGTTTCTGGAATGTCATTTTGCAAACTCTTTTTAGAAGGTGGAGCCTTGGATGTAGCACCTCGCTTGCGTTTCACAGGAACCTTTACTGGACTGTCTTTCTCCGCTTCGCTCTCTGCTGAAGAGATCGCCTCCTCATCTACACCACTGCTTGCCTCATCACTGCTCCCAGAATCCTTTGCATCAGGCTTGAACTCATCATCAGAGCATTCGTCTTCACTGTCAGACTCAATAGTTATTCTCCTCCTCTTGGCCTTTCCATTAGTCCTACTTTGACGAGCTGGTCTGTTTGATTTTCTTTCAGATACTTCATCACTTGCGGGAGAACTTTCCTCAACCTGGTGAAAAATTATAGTCACAGCATTATCAACTGCTCCAACTAAAATATCAAAAAGGTGAGCATAAAACTTTTATACATCTTTATCTACCTTGAACTTTGACATATTTTGTAGTTTTACAACCTGGAATTAAAAGGGATTTTATTTCACTAATCAACTCAATAGACCATAACGTGAAAGTGAAATGGCATCCAAGTTCACTTTACAAATGAAAACGTGAAACATCTGGAAGCACTCTTAGCAGTGAAAACTCTAAATGGGCTTTGTTGGTAGCAACTGCCAACAAAATAAATACAATTTACTTAATTGGTCTAATAGACACCCCAGCCATCATTTTTCAGCAAGTACAATATGATCTTGTACCCACTCACTTCCTGTGCCAACCCTCCCCCACCCCACAACCACTGCTCTCATTCAGAAAACAGAAGAGGCATTTAATTCCTCCAGGCAGACACAGTGAAGGAATTACAGGGGACCACCCATTACATGTTTTACTGCAATAATAACAGCATTGCAGCCTTTTGTGTCTGCAATGCATCAACAGCTCTGACAAAGGCTGAAAGGCTCCGAGGAGAGGGGAGAAAAAAAAAAAAGCACACTGGAAAATTGATCTCTGAACTGTTAACTATTGCAGTGCTATTGCAGTGCAGCTAATACACATAATACACAGGGTTGGATAAATAAAAAGCAAGGTGATGCTCAGTCTGAAATTGCTGTGCAAGTGCAGAGTTTTGGTAATCACAATCCATTCAGGTGCCCAGAATAGAACAGTGTTGCTAGTTCTAATAAAGCCCTAAGAAGGCAGAACATGAGTTCCCTGAAATTACAGCACAGGCGATCATTTCATATATATCAGATAATGATTTTTAGCTAGTCCTTGGTGAAGAAGTGCAGTTTTATTAAGAATATGAAGAATTTGGCCAATAAAAAAAACCCAAAAACCTAGCATATAAAAAATTAGGAAATGCTGAACTCCGGAGACACTGCCAATGAAGACTTGTACCTACAAGTCAGGCCCCTTTCACACGGCGTCCTAATCAGGTCAGCTTCTGGTCAGTTCTTCAGACGGACCTGACCAGAATCTCTATGTTAGTCTATGGGGATTCGAATGTAAATGGCCCTGCATCTGTTTACATAAGATTACCTCCGAGACCCCATTCACACCAATGCGACAGCGTTTCAGCACTCTTTATGCGCGTTTAAAAAAAACAAAAAAAACTTTTGCGCATTTCAGCACGTTTTACAGGCATTTTTTTGTTCAAACGCAATAGGGTTTTAGGCACGTTTTCAGCTCATTTTCCAATTGTCCAATGAAAAGCAGTCTTCACCTGCAAAAACATGCTGATCGGCGCATTTCCATTGAAGTCTATGGAGTAAAAACGGGCTGATAAGTGCCATAAAAGCTCAGGCACCATTTCACCTCCTGCTTTCCAGCTCGTTTGTCAACTCCTCCCATACTCGCCTCCAGGACTTCTCCAGAGTCTCTCCCATCCTCTGGTACTCTTTACCCCAACCTGTCTATCTCCCACCTTGACTGCCTTTAGGCGATCCCTTAAGACTCATCTCTTCAGGGAAGCCTATCCGACCTCAACCTAACCGCTCAACTATCACGTTCTCAATCATCCCCACACAGCTCCCTCCTCATGCATCACTTCCCCCTCCCTTTTAGATTGTAAGCCCTCACGGGCAGGGCCCTCCTTACCCTCTTGTCTTGAAGTGTATTGTAATGTCTTCCTTATATTGTAAAGCGCTGTGCAAACTGTTGGCGCTATATAAATCCTATGTAGTCCATAGTCCATAGTATTTGAGGTTGAATAAAGACATTAGTCCATCAAGTCCAACCTATTAGGATCTCATTCTAGGAGTACCCGTACCCCTGTATATTACGGTCCCTTAAGAAATCGTCCAAAAGTTTCTTGAACAATTCCACATTATTTGCTGAAATCACCGCCTGTGGCAGTGAGTTCCAGACCCTAACTGATCTTACTGTGAAGAACCCCCTTCGCACCTTGTGTGTAATAATAATCATTTCAAACCAGGCATATTTGAATGTGCGATTCAGCGTGTTTGTGTGAACAGCCCCCATAGAAACACACAGGATTTTATGCTGCATGCGGTTCAGCGCAGGGGGAAAAACCTGCAACGAAATGCCCTGGTGTGAACGGGCCTTAGTGTCTAGGTCCGCAAAAAAACGGAAGAGTCCCTTTTTGGCGGACCTAAAGGGGATGTATTGGACACATGCTCACTTACATCCGACTCCCCATAGACCTAACATGGGTCTGTACAGCTACATCACAAGATGGAGGGGAAAAAAAAAAAGGAATGGACGCAAATGTCAGAAGAGTGCAACCCATTCCGTACTGCTCTGATCAGCAGGGGAGCCGTGCATGGATCCTCTGCTGATCGGAGTGGAGGGTACCCATGTCAAAAGGAGGCTTAGAATTAAATCCAGATTCCCCAAATATGTGGCACTGCCCAACCCTTCAAACTCACTGGCTAACAGCAGAGATTGCCCAGAGCAATGTACAGAAAGCTAGCGTCGCATCAAAGTAGCCTGAATTATTTCACCTTTACATGACCCATCTGCTACCACATGCTGGGAAGGAACGGCCACAAAATAAAAAGTCCACGGCTCATGTCAGTTGTGGGCAAACGGCAATTTAAAAGAAAAAAACATTTCCAATTATTTCTTTAAAAAAACTTTTTTTTTTTACTGGGCAAATTCCTTACAATTCACTCTAAACCTATTTTAAACAACTTTGGGGATTCAACTGAGTTTGTTTTTTTTTTACTACACAAAATGGCACTTGCTTTGCAAGGCGGGCACATCTGGGGGTCACCCAAGCTCTTCACTCCAAAGACCTCAAACCCAAAGTGCTGCTATGCAAGTATTGACCAAACAAAAATGGTCACTTTGAATTTTAGAATTTAGTGCCTACAGGTACACACCACCAAAAGCCCTAAAACAGATCAGGCTCAATTGGCAAAGTTTTAAAACACAAGGATAAGGATCTTCATTCAGGCCTTGTAACCATTTTTTGTAGTCTCACTGGACTCTGAAGTAGAAGATAACTCACTTTTTGTTTTCCTAGCTTTGAGAATTGAGTCCATAATCTGTTCAAATAGCAGAATGCAATATTACTAAACGTGATAATCTACTAAAAAAAAAAGTTATGAATGTAACCAACAGTGACATATTAATCTGTATTTAAGAAGAGCTACAAACCTTTATGTACTATGTAAAGAATAAAATACAAAAAAAACAGCACACATCTGTTTTATACAGTTCATGGGAGGAAACCATATACATCTTGATCATTTTTGTCACAGGGTTTTTACCTCCATTTCCTCCTCAGAATCAGAAGGTTCTGTGCAAACAGCCAGTGCCAGTCTCTTATCCTTTTCTGTTTTCAATGCATCATCTGCCATTCCCATTGCTTTCATTATTTCAGGCCTGGTACTAAAAAACATGCCCCCCTTTCGGGCTTCTGCAGCAGAGGAACCTAAAAGTACAAAAAAAAAAAGTGTATTAAAAAAATAAAAAAACAAACAGATGGTTCCTATATACCGCACCTTGAAAATGTCCCCCTTAAAAATACAGCTGTATCTAAAATGTAAAATATAAATAATGGGCTTGTACGCATCGGTCCCTCTGATGTTTAGGAGGTCATAAAGAGAGATTAGAGGGAAATGTGTATGTAAAGCCAATTTATTTCTATGTGGAGAAGGAATACAAACCCAGTAGAGTAGACACAGACTGTTTTTTAGGGCCTTATGTAGCATTTTCACATCTACCTTGCAGCTTACAGTTAGTATAGGTATTTGACATATACATTGTTGCGGCTCCTTTAAAAGGATGCATGCTAAAGGAGGAAAACCCAAACGGTGTTCGGCTTCCTTAGCATTAAGATCCTCTTAGGTGTACACAGGGAAGCAATTGACATGCTGCACACTCTCCTCATGTCATTGCTGACTGGTCTGCTTATGGACCACCAAGTCCACCATAATGGGATCACATATATGAGCCCTTTATAAATCAGCCCCCCAACATTTAAAGATCTTACCTGAGTAATTCTTCACATATTTTGCACCTATCCATCCTCTAGTTGGTGGGTCATCAAAGAACTGCACATGAACATGAAGAGACTTGCCCTTTCCTCTGAAATGAGTGTCTTCCCTTGGGTGGTTATAAACCAATGATGGCCACCAGGGATGACCTGGCATCTTGGCCCAAACAATGTCACCAGGTGTGAAATCACAAATACTGCAGACAGAAGATCATTTTTTTAAATTAACAACAGGCAATACAAAATTTCAAACTTTTTATAGCAGAACTTAAAAAGGACAAAAAAATGCAGTTAGATATTCATTAACACATTTTTTTTATGCAACTAGTATGTGTATGCAAATTTGTGTAAGCCTTTCATAATGTCACATACATCAGTACTCAAGACTGGGAGGGAGGGGTAAAACTGGGAATTAATCAATTGTGCTGCATGCAAATATACTGACAAGGAACATGCAGATAGGAGAGCAGAGTGAGCAAAGAGAATCAGGGGGCTGATGCTTTCAATGTCCAGTAAGCAAGCTAGAAAGACACCACTGCATCCTTTCTACAGTATATAGCCAACAGTGATGTGATCCAGCTTGCTGTCCAAATCTCCGACAGAAATCCAAATTATTTTTCAGGTAAACCAGTTCCCTTATATGAATTCCACATGTGTATTTAGCTGTGCGCCTGGAGTTTATGAGAGCAATGAAAACCTGATTAACTGACCCCCACTATTTTGGGGGTGAAAGCAGAGAAAGAAGTGTATTGTATACACTGATGGTTTCTGAAACGCAGAGAAACAAATACAGATCCCACAGAGTCACAGGCAAACGAATGAGGGAACCTAAAGGGAGCAAAGGATTTTCCAATGCAGAAGTTCCTGGGGTAAGTTTCTTCACCAAAGTGAAGTATGCCTTCTGCATCCTATGACAGATCTTGCAAGATGATTCCTTGTTTGTATAGGTATCACAGTCTAAGAGATGACCATGTCCCTTAAAACCTCGACTTTACCAGCCATGTCATTAGAGCTGGATTGGTAAAACAGCTCTCGAGATAGAAGGACCTGATGACTGGGTAGAGCATCTGCCAGGAGACTTACCAGGCTGGCCTGCCACATCCAGTCCAAAGCTTTGAGGATCACTGTATAGCGCCCTAACTTGATCATGTGAAGCAGAGGAGAATGTTTCCAGGAAGGAAAGGCATAGATGTTGGTGTACCATAGATCAGGGTGAAACCATGGAGCCACCAGAGCACTCACTGCTACTTATATCCAAAAACAAACCTGTCCAGTTTGGACCTGAAAGCCAGGTGGTCCACATATTGCTTCCCTTTCCGGGGTCACTGTGAAAGTCTGCCATTTTAGGAGTTATAAAACTGCAACAGTATGGGCAGAAGCAGCAGGCTGAACATGTTCTGCAGAGAGAGCCCACAGTGCATCATAAAAATGGAACATTCTCTCTAAAACTGGGAATAAGAGGACGGCAACGCCTCAGAATAACTCTTCAGTCACGGATTGGACACATCATTGTGGATAAAAAAAAAAAAAATCTGATTTCCAGATACAGTTTTCAACAAAAATATGACAAGCTGCCCACAGTGAGGGTGATTTAAGGAAAATGGAGGCATTACTAACAGCAGCTGGTTGTTTTAATATTCACCCGACTTCCACAGGTGGGCCTTTCCATGGTGCAGGTAGACCTTTATCCAAACCTGCTCCCGACTTCTACCCTCTGCCATGCTGCCACATCTGCAGGATGTAGGACTATTGATATAAATGTGGGGGCTGAGGACTCTTATGTGAAGAGGGCTTCCGATATGAAGGGGGGACTCTGATGTTAGGTAGGGCAACTCCTAATATAAAAAAGGGGGCTTCTTATGAGAAAGGGGGGGATTCTGATGTAAAGGGGGAACCGATGTGAAGCGAGGAACTCCCTATTTCTGTGTTTTGGTTTGGGGTTCCTCCACACCACAACACGCATCTTTATATGTTTACATTTATTTTCTACTGTGGTCCATTGCGTTTTTTTGCAAACCTTTTAAAAAGGTGCCGTGACTGTCAAAAATGTGAGAAACGCAGTCCTAGAGACCTACATATGCGACAAAACATACGCACAAGATACAAACAATGTGACTGTCATTCAGAATTTTACCTATGCAGTTTATAGAATACACATCACATAGGGTTGGGAAACCATTGTTTAGAAGTGTCATCTCAACGTCACAGTTTTCTGGCCTATTGCACAACGTTCTACCAACACCGGCACAGGATTACATATAAAAAGATACTTTGGACAACAGCAGAAATTTCAAAGAACAAAAACTACAGATATGCAACTGTGTAGTGAAAAAAACAGCGCCACATAATTCATCAGAAACTTAAACATGGATGTCACCGGCACACCAGGATCCAGCTTGAATATCTGTGCGAGTCCATTTTATTGATAGATGTCACTCAGACAAGCGCTTTTGGGGCCGCACAGGGTTCCCTTCATCAGGCTCAGAAAGGAGACTCTGAGGGGTCCTGAAAGCGATTGTCTGAGTGACATCAATAAAATGGACTCGCACAGATATTCAAGCTGAATCCTGGTGTGCCGGCGACATCCATGTTTAAGTTTCACTGGCAGCGGCACCATCCGCAGTCATTATGAGCACCCATTGCTCTGGGATATCCCCATAAGGAGTGAGGTGAGGTATTTGGACATTACATAATTCATCAGAACACAAATCTCAGACTGCTCACATGTAAACCACATGCCGTAATCTGACAATTTGACTTCCCTGATGTATATCCTTCATATTATAATCATCACCGTATGCAGTCAACCTGACAGTAAAGGAGTCTATTTATGACCTGGAGAAGTCGCAAAACTACATCATGCAAAGTGCTGAAGCAAGAGGATCAGCATGACAGCCGGACAACTGAGTGCACAATGAGACATTAGCAATTGTAGCCTTCATGCTCCATTGAAGGAGAAAGTCACATGGATGTGTGCAGAACCCATTTTGTGGGTCATACCTCCGCAGAGACAACTGTCTCCACATGGGGAGCTAGAGGCTTCTCTGGAGCAGGGACATTCTTGCAGCAGGAATCCCTGGTGTCCCCATTCAGATGCAGACGCTGTGCCTGATCCAAGTTAATGACAGCGACCGCATCTGTCAGGGACAGTCCACATGTAATCGCACACGGTATGATTGTCCCTGGACACATGTATCCTACAATTGTTCAATTACATGTGGACATTCATTAACTTGGGTACAAGTTTTTTAGACCGCAAGCCCTCAGGGGCAGGGCCCTCCTTACCATCTTGTCTTGAATTGTAATGTCTTCCTTACATTGTAAAGCGCTGCGCAAACTGTTGGTGCCATATAAATCCTGTGTAATGATAATAATAATACAGCAGCCGCATTTGAACAGGGACACCGGGCATACCTTTCATTAAGCCCCCCGATGAGCATGGGGCCTAAGGGCTTGTTCACACCAACTGCGGTATGTTCCAGAGCGGTAGCCGCTGGAACGCACCGCAATCACTCACTGCGTTCTGTGGCGGGACGGTGCATTGAAGTCAATGGCACCGCTTACACGCCCCCCGCAGTGCGATCGGATACGTGGCAAAACATTGCCTGCACTCAGTTCCACTGCAAACGCAAAAAATGCTGCTTGCTCTATGTTTTGCGTTGACAGTGGAACGGAAACACAGGCAATGTTTAGCCGTGCATCCGATCGCACTGCAGGCGGGGGAGCGTGGAAGCGTTACCATTGACGTCAATGCACCAACACGCCCCCCTCCTGCCCCAGAACGAAGTTTTGTGAGCGATTGCAGTGCGTTCCAGCAGCTACCACTCTGGAACGCACCGCAATTGGTGTGAACAAGTCCTTAGTCAGCCACAGATCTCCAGCATGAGGTTATCATGCAACACATCTGTACATACACAAGAGACCCGGAGAGATCTACACAGCCCCCAGTAAACTGACTCCCCTTATATGTCTGCTCCACATACACACAGCTGTACATGGATGTATAGCTGGACTAGAACTACAACTCCCAGCACTCCTTATAAACACACAGACAAGGGCATGCTGCCATTTATACACCCACCCCCCCACATCTCCTATGTTCTGCAGAAAGAGCCCATACTGCTCGGCTCTGTCCCAGCCACTCTGAGGTACCTGGGCGTGGCGGCCCGGGGGGTCTTCCCTCCATGTTTCGGGGCCCCCGCTGACTCCTTGGGAGAGGAGTTGAACTTTTTCGCCCCCAGGGAAGGCACGTCAGCCTCGGTGGGGGAAGAAGATGGCCCGCTCTTAGTCTTGCTGCTGGAAAGAGTCGGAGACTTGGCGAAGAAGCTGAACAGGGTGCTCTGCTTGGCCATGGCGGCGGTCCGCTCCGGGCTGCTACAGACACACAACACCGCACCTCACACAGATGGCGGGAAAAGTCTGTGAGGAGGGAAACGTCACCGGCCGGATGTGTTGCTGGTCAGAGCAGCCAATCAGAGAGAGGGGAAGGGGCGGAGAGCAGCATGCTGGGCGAGCACGTGGAGGGTCAGGGTGGTTGCCATGGTGACGGAGTGGATTTGTTATTGTGGGAAGAGCTCATAGTCCTGTGGTTTTTAATTTCCAAGAGGTATGGGGCCTCAAAAGTGGCCCCTGACAGCTCCAAAGGGCCACACATAATATTTAGTGTATGACACAACAACGTCAGAGGTTTCAGACATACAAGCAGAGACCGCAGACATGAACGAGGGTGTTTGGAGACTGAATTCCCACTAGAGATAGAGTTAGGAGAAATGTCACATGAGACTGCTAGGTCACTATCATTATAACAAATGAAACCTTCCACTGCTGGGGTCTGCAAAGGGCCACACAGCAAGTACCAAATGGCCACATGTGGTGGTCCTTGGGCCAGCAGGTCGAGCATCGGGGTCATGTCCTGTTTTACCAGACACTGTAGAAACACAGCTGCAATGGGTGAGCCCTGTGACCTGCTGAAAATGTTAGTTGCTTGGCTGCTATGCTGAGTGATTCTTTTAGTCACTGTCCCAAAAACCTCTTTCCCTGGAGATGAGTTATAAAAAAAAGCAGACCTTTATCCATATCTTCAAAATAACACACACCTTTAGAAATGTTTAGTAATGCCAATGTACAAACACATACTTCTAGATAATTGCCGGCTTTGTATTCTTTGCATACCTTATGTTTCTCTTCCTTCCCATTCTTCTCGCAGTGGCCTTTTTTTGTTAAGGGCAGCTTACTAGATTTCTCCTTACTTCCTGGAACTCTGGCACATGTGACTAGGACATGTGACCATGCACATCATCTCAGGGGAGAGAAATGCCTTTCCCTGAGATCTCATGACATTACAGATAAGAATACCCAGCAATGATCTGCTGATGTAACCAGTGGCGTAACAACCGGGGGGGCAGCAGGGGCGCGGGCCCCGGGCGAAAAGTGAAGGG